TCTCACCTTCTGATTGATGGTGTAATAGTAAAGAGCTTAAGATAAATCTGTTACAGTAACTCTTCTGTCTTGGAAAGTTGGACTGTCTCTAACTAAAACAACCCCAGAGATTTTTTTTAGTTGGAGTACGAAGTAGAAAAGACGTTTGACCTAATGACAGGCTAGAAAAGCGTTCTCATACCCTTTTATGATTTGGGTGTTTTTGGTCAAAATTATCATTTTGGCTTTCTGAGGAGTTAGACACTGAGTAGTTGTAGCATTCATTCGGTGACGAAGGGCCACTTTTAAATTTAATAATCTCTTGTGTTGGTTTTGTTTTCTGGTTTTAAATGGTGCTATAGACTATATCTGATTTTTAACTGGCATACGATGAAATTGAGGGTTTTTTTCTAGAGTACCCGTTGCCACAGCAGCAAGGTGCTTCACTTACAGTATGAGCTGTTTTCAGAAACAAAATAACATCAAAAGGTGTGAATCCAAAGCAGATCAATACTGAAGAAAATTGCAATGCTAAGGCAGACGTATGTGGTGAAGGAATTCTATTGCCATCCTATGCTGTCCTGTTACCCTGTGATTATCAAACATCTGTTTCCATTTTCTACTTAGATTGTAAACCATTTAGGGAGGGGACTTTATATTTATCATGGTGCCAGAGTTCAGAATGGTATTGCAGAACATCCCAGAATTAATATCATTCCATCCCTGCTTAAGTGCCATGTAGAGGATCTGGTTTCAGTCCAATTTTCCTGTATTCCCTGATGTTGATGCGTATCTGCCTGTCCTTAATATGACGCCACAGCTGGTAGATCAGCAGATTGGATGCATATGCTGCCTTCAATGGCACATGCCTCCAGGCCTCCCCAACCAACAGCCAGAGTGAAGTCTGTGAGGACAAGGCTTTGCCCCAAGGTCCTGTTAACATGCATACCAAAATCAGCTAGGCTGTACTGTGTGCTGGACTATTTCTAATAGTAAGGGAGAAAAAATTCTCCTAAAAGAGCTTCACAACATCTCTTTAAAAACATGAGGCTGTGGCTGTGGTGATAGACCACCAATGTGAGCTGCTGCTTGGTTACCAAGAGGATAAAATTTTACTCCAGGGAGATATTTTTATACAGTTGCTTATTCATATTACAGCAGATGCCAAAAGCACCCTTATGCTCAGCAGTATAGAAAATTCCAGTTTCACAGGGGCTACAATCCAGTCTAGTTTTACTTCTCGTAAAACCAGGCAATCTTGACAGCCTGTAGTTGGATGATAAGTACTAGATTATTCTTCTGGTGTAATTTTAATTATTAATTGATTAGACTTCCATTGTAATTTTCTCTTTTTTGCACATACCCCATCATTTAGCTGCTTGAAAGTCAAGCACCACCCAGGCCTGCCATTATTATCAGCTTAGCATGGAAGTTGAAATGATCCAGGTGTACACTGTAAAGTGCAAGGTTTGATTTTCATTGTCATGGCACTGGCAGCAGGACTATAGACAGTGTAGATGGCAAAAAGACATGTTCTGCACTGATTATTTTCTACTAGAAATGTGTTCTTTTCTGCACTCAATTGTTCTTTATACAGCTTGCTATAGGAAGTGGAGTTATACATGGAAATCTTCTTGGTAAATATTTTATAATTAACCAAGTAACAGCTTTAATTTGCAGCTTTCCTAACAGGTTGTGGTAGCCAAATACTATTGTACTACTCAGTTGTTCCTAGACGCTGTCACTGCCTCCTGTGCCCGTTCCAGATTCCCTTATATTTTGCACACTGTATGTAAAAACTGAATTAATACCATCCTCAACTCTTTTGCAGCTGTGAAACAGCACACAAGCTAGGAGAGCTTTATAGACTGGATGGGAATACTGGGGAGCCAGACAGGACTCCGTACAAACACTGTATTTTATGGAGTGATGTATTTTAATAGTTACAAAATTAGCTTGATGTATTTTTAAACTGGAAAAGGAAAATAAGGAATAATTTACACTGATCAGAAATTGGAAAAAAACCACAGTACTATCCTCTCAAATTTTGATCCTCTTTGGTGTCTTTAGCTACACTAACGAGGCAGTTCAGTAACTGTCTTGATTATTGGTGGAAAAGTTGTTATCCTCCAGAACATCTAATTGAAATTCCTGAAAGTTACTGTGGAATGGGGTTGGGGGAGAGGAGGAAGTCTAATTTATAATTTGCTGTACTGTGGAGTGAAAGATAAGAGATGTTCATGAAGATGGTGAAGATTAATGAACAAACCGACATTCCTTCTTTGGGGATAGCTCTCTTTAGCCTCTATAGTGTTTTGATTATTTACTTTACTGGGCTGTTTTAAAGTTTAGACTTCTAAATTCACATCTCCTAGGAATACATTTTAAAGAGCTACAACAGGTAGGAGGGAAGTTTTGTTTTTTGGTTGGTTGGTTTGGGTTTTGCTTTTATGATGTAAATTATGTTGTAAGTTGGGGGTTTTTTGTTTGTTTTCTAAAGGGATGTTTCTTGTCTCTGCAGGTATGGTGTTAGTCCTGAGAACATTATTCTGTATGGTCAGAGTATTGGTACTGTCCCTACAGTAGACCTGGCATCTCGGTACGAGTGTGCAGCAGTAATCCTTCATTCTCCCTTGATGTCTGGATTACGGGTAGCTTTTCCAGACACTAGGAAAACCTATTGCTTTGATGCTTTTCCAAGGTATGTATAAACACTGCAAAGAGGGTTGTTCTATACTCCACATGCTCTTTAGGTGTTTAAAAAGGAACTTTATTGAATTGTTACCTGCACTTTAAACTTTTGATATTAACACCTTCTAAATCCAAGCAGAGATTCACCATATAAGAAAGAAGCTGATGTCAGTCTCAAACTGACACGATTGTCAGTTCCATGAACAATAGGTTTTTTTCTCCTGTTGTTTGTATTGTTAATATCAGAATTTTTATGCTGTCAAGTTTGGAGTAGTAGCTTAACAACTGATAATACTGAATTGAGTCCTTCAGGCTAATGACTCATTGGTAATTATACGCTTTTAACATCTCAGTCAACTTTGATTTAGAAGGTAATATGATATCATTAAATGGATGTGATGTCTTCAAGCTGCTTATTGAAATATTGCTATAGTTTTACCAGATGAGCAGTGAAACAGATATAGATAATTGCTGCTTTTAAAGGGAGAAAACAGGACAGGGTCAGAGGCTAGAGAGTTGGACTGGTATGGTTCACTTTTCAGTTGAGTTCTGCATTTCATGTATGATCTTAAGGAAATTAATTTAGTGTTTCTTTGCCTTTGGTCCTTGTAAGTAAAAATATTTTTGTACCTTTGGTATCCTGTCCATATAAAATCACTAAAGATACTGAGACTTGTTCCTCCCTGATGGAGATCGTGTAAGATCCTAATGTCTGTAACAAAAATAAAGTAAATTACTGTCCCTGTTTTGGAAGATGTTGAGCTTGTTTTAAGAAGCTCTAGAATATTTTAGGTACAGAAACCTATGTATACAACTGGTTTCAAGATAAAACAGTGCATTTATAGCCTAGCGTTTCATCTGAAAAGCAACTGCCACAGACCTAAATTAAAGTATCCAACTATTTGGGAATAGCAGAGGTCCTGGGAATAGCAGATGTTCTAGGAATCTTTTAAAACTTCTTATCAGACCCAGCTTAAATTAAGGGGGAATATTAGAGGGGGAAGACAGTCTCTTTATAGCAGTGTATGTATACCTGGCATGGGGGTGAGGGGAGGCACAGATAAAATGCTAACAGGTCTGTGGAAGGGAGAAGACAAAAGAGAGGCACACTGAAGTCTTGTGCAAAGCTTGGCTTTGCTTCAGAAGGTTATGTTTGCAGTAAGTTTAGTAGGGGTTATTCATAGCATTTGTTATGTTTGTTTTATTTTGGTTACAACAGATTAAAATTAGAAGGTGGGGGAGGTTGTAGATACAAATCTGTATGCCAGAACAGCTAGAAGTAATAGTGACCAACAGTGGCTCTCACAGTATCTGTGTCCAGTCCCCATGTTTAGAATCCTTCCAAATGGGTTATGAATTAAATAAGTAATTAAATTGTTGAAGGTGCAGTCAGGATTTGAAACACTTAGACTTGTTCATCATTCTCCAACCTGAAATCCAATATTTGCAAATGCTTCTGTGAGAGGGGAGAAAACAAAGCCTTAAAAATAGCTCTGATGACAAAAGTAACAGCGATTAGCTGATACCAGCCAAATCAAACAACTGTTTTAAAACGAAAAAGTGGGAGGGGGGGAACGTGACAACAGATGTACTGTAGCACTTGAGTATTTTTTTTCTTTCCCT